AAAAAACAACAGAAGAAGAATTGCGCACCTCAGCAGACAGAGACAGSTTACTGCAGGACTCACTCTTCACTATTTTTAATGTAGTTTTATATCAGATTAACTAGACTAAATATGTAATACATGTGTAATATATTAGTAATTCTGTAGAAAAGTATGAGATAATAAGTGTTCACAAACATTTTGGAAACAAAGAGGGAGAACGCAGATAAAAATTGCAATAGTGACAATATTAAACTAATGTTTGCTTAATTTTTATGTATTTTGTTGTGTTCTTTTTGTACAGCTCATGCCACTCATCACTGATTAGTTCTTGTGATGCTATCAACTTCTGAAGGATTTTTTGACTAATTCACTGAACTTAAGCTTTAAACAGAGAAAGAGTCAGTATGGCTTTTCAGCATATTTCTGCATAAACAAAAGTTACCGCCCACCAGGGGTGTGGCCAGGAATTAGGTTTATGTACATGTGACCTTTACAGGATGTTTCACCTTTATTTATTTTTTGACTACCTGAACAGCAGCTGCTCTTGTGAGGGTTGTTATTGTTTTCTTTCTGATAAGACCCAAGGCCTCAAACTCACAGGCCCTGCCTGGCTGATGGGCTGTGAGCTGGAATGGAGTTCAGATTTTTTTTTTTTAAAGATTTTTAGAAAAGGATCATCCAACTTCTAATTATTGGTCATATTTTTCTTACACATCTGTTGAAAAAAGTAATATTTTCCCACACCTCTACCCTATTTTATAAACCATTCCATTCTGTTCCCCTAATATGGTCCAACRCTCCCCTCTCTTCACCTACAGCCACAGATACAAACATCAGAACTTGCAGTGATTTCTCACAATGCATGTTTAGTTTGTCTTTTACTCAGACACAACAAGTAAAACGACAAGTTACAGGTTCAAGAGGTTATTTGTCAGATGAGGAAAATACAATCCTTCGTATGCTGGTTGGTGTCCTCTGAGTTTCTCTTGCTTCGGTCACATTCAATGACAGCAGCAGGTGAGCAGGAAGAGACAGGATTAAACATTGAGCTCTCTGCCACTGACAGTCAGAGAAAAACCCCGGGTCTCAGCAATTCTCAACACTGACCCATTTTATGCCTCCTGCTTTAACAATGAAGGCCAAAATAACCACTGCTCACACACTTCCATGGTGGTTGAAACTGGGAAACTTATGATTAAGGTAAATCAATTTTATGAATTCTCTTTTATTGTTTTCTTGTTGCTGTTGTTTTTTTGTCTCTTTTTTGCAGTCTAACGCCTGCACCCTTTGTGCTATTTTAACCATTCGTAATAAAAACATTCAACTCAACAAAGAGATGGATGCTATGAATTTAGATTTTTGTTACTTTTATATTTTTGTTTACAAACATTTTCATCTCTGATTCTTTCAAAACACTGCTTACTAGGTCTATTTTGTTTTAAGCATCTGCTCTTTTTAGTTTTCAGCTAGTTTATGCTACTTTTAGCTTTTAGCTAACATTCTGCTACTTTTGGCTTATTGGCTGTGTCCAAAACGACAGGCCGGGTCCTCCGGAGGACCCAGACTACCCGTTCGAGGTGGGCCGGGTCCTTGGTAGACCGGGAAGACCGGAAAAAAAGAGGCTGTGAATTTGGACGGTCTAGCCTCCCCTCCTTACCCCGGCGTACGGCATGTCACCTAGCAACTGTGACGACGCTAAACAAACAAACTTAAATCAAAATTAGAAAAATGACAATACATTAGCATTATTAATATCACAAAACTATAAAATTAACTTAAAGGTATCATTTGAAGAACTAATTGACCCGCTGTGGGTTCATGTTTATTTAGCATTTCTTATGACAAAAATAATATTTAAAAACATGTTTATACATTTTTATATCGCCATACTTTCATTTAAAACGTCTTTTCTCTCGCTTYGTCCACCATTGCTAGCTTAAAAAAATCTCTGGTCGAGCTGCAATGCATTATGGGATACGCTGGGCCAGGAAGGATCCATCCGACCTGTCCTTCGATTTGGGCCAAAGGAAGGACGTATTTGTCGGCCACATTGGAGTAGTCTTCGGTTTTGGACGTCCTTAGTCGCGGCGCTGTGACGTATGCGGCCGATGAATTCGGCCTTCGGAGGACCCGTCCTGCCGTTTGGGACACAACGATAGTCATTTGACTAGCATTTGCTTATTTTAGCTTTAAGCGATAGTATTATGGTTCGTTTAGCTTTTTGGCAGCCTTTTCCTACTTTTTAAATTGGTGTTCTTTTAACTTTTAGCTTCTGTTCTGCTACTTTTAGCTTTGACAACTCAGTCCCATTGTCTTCAGCCAACTTCTCTAGATAACTAAATAGAAAATATTCACAATTTCATGAATATTGACAAATTTCAACCAAAGTTCCTCAGATTAACAGAACATTCAATAAAACTACTCATTAGTCTTTTATGAATAAAAACCTTCAGGTGTTTTAGCAAAATAAACTTCCTCACATTTGTTTCAAAAGAGAACATGTTTGGTAAAATAAAACTCTCACATATAAACTTAAACCTGTAACAAGGGTGTGTCAATTTAATTTTTACAGAGGTCCATGTGAGCATTAAGGTGGCCCTTAAAGAGCCAGTTGTAATTAACGTTTCGTGTTTAACTTCAGCTAAAAAGAAATGTCACATTCCTCGTCTCRTTGCTCTGGCTGAGCACTGCCAACAAACAATAACTGAACTCTACATGGTATAACCTGCATAAAAACAATGTTTTAGCACATCATTTTATGAACACTGAACAAAGTACTATGTGATGTGTAAGACTGACTAAATGTGAAATAAATTATACAGAAATTCTATTAAAAGTAAAAGTAATAGTTTTACTCACTTTCAGGGAATTCCCATGCATAATCGACATGCATTATGGGAGATGTAGTTCATCATCAGTGCTGGCTTTAAAGCCACTTATTTTGAGACATCCAATCAAACTCAATTACTCAGGGGGTATTCAGTTAGTCAAGGCCAACAGCTCAGAGGCAGGACAAGTATAATTATCCTTCACCTTTTAAATGTGTTTATTTTGTTGCACTGAATCACACATTTAAAGTTTACCACTGATATGCAAATATTTATCATATTAAACCAAGTTAAAAATGCTAAATGCATTTGGGGTGGACCAAATGTATTTGGTTTGACATGTCCTGTAATCGATCTACAACCTGTCCAGGGAGTACCCCGCCTCTCACTAAGTGACTGCTGGATATGAGCACCAGTGACCCCTATGACCTCAGAAGGAAAAGCAGGTAAAGATGATAGATGGGAGGACAGATGGGTGTGAACTTAAACTCACATTTATGCAAACATAGTGTAAAACTATTACATAATAGCTCTGTTCTGATGACGATGATGATGATGATCAGGCTTAATTTACCTCCGGGGCGTTCAGCTGCTTCCTGAGTTAAAAGACTTTTACTGAGATATTATCCTGTTTTAGAAACATTTCTAAATGTTTTGTGCTAAATATCTGATTCTCCACAAACAGCTGCAGAGTTTTTAACAACCTCCTGTCCCTCTTCATCTTTTTGTGTTTTTGTGAGGAAGAGTTTTTTCAAAAGATGACTAACATTTCTGTTTGATCTGAAGCTYCTGATTTAAGAAAAGTTCTCCCAAATCACACATATGTTTCAGAAACTGATCGTTCTGATATAAATTTAGTGTTTTCCAAAGCTGAAGGAGAAAAACGGTGATAGAAACAGAAGATTAACAAACAACAGTGAGAARAGTCCTTTGGAATGATATCTTTAATGAGCGCTGTGACATGTAAATAATAGATTCTAAAAACAAAATAAAAGCGATAGAATCCCCTGACCAAGTCCCTGCTGACAGAGGCCTTCACGGAAACGCGGCTGTCATCACAACAGCCTCCATCCCGTCGTATCAAAGCAACATGTATAATCCATGATGCCAGTTTCAGTGCAGAGCCACAGGCCAGCGGTGAACTGGAGCATGAAGAAGTGTGCAACCGGGAAATGAGTGACAGTTACCACAGGCTGCTTCAAATCTAGATTTAAATCTTTAAACAGTCCATCGCAGTTCTTTGAAATGTCAGATTCTCAAAGGGAAATTTAAAAAAAATTCAAAATTGTAAAACAAAATAATAAAAAAATGGCGTGGGCCACCAGGGGAAACCCTTCTTGTACAATCATGGCTACATTCCTCGTTACATTACAACTGGAGCTTACTGTCTTCCTTTTCCTCCTCGTGGTTACATTATGCAAAGAGAGCAGAAATCTTAACCTGTTTGTGCCATTTCCAGCATGAATAAGATGCATTATACAGCGTGTGTTTGAACTGCAAAGACTATAAGTGGTAAAGGGATCGCCTACAAAAGGCAGAAGCAGGCGATGATGTTTGTGCCTGCGTGTGCACATGTGTCTGTCTGTTAGCAAAAAAATCCCATAACCTACTGAATGGATTTTAATGAAACTTGCAGAAAGTAATCATTGGGTGTACATCTACAGTGTCAGGCTGCCATGATCAACTGAGCTTAAAAAACAGATACACTTGTGATGCAATATTAAAAAAGCAGCATAATGTTAGCTAAAAACTGATGGCATGAAAGGTGGCGGGTAACAGGCATTCCTTTCAGAAATGCTAGGCCTTTAATATTATTAATAATATTTGCAGCATTTGCTGCATGCATAAATAAATAATAAAATAAAAGGTAGACAGATATCAGAAAAAAATCAGACGTTTTTTATTTTTTTTGTATGGTGAGCAGATGAAAGCAGGGGGCTGAAGGTGAGAGGGATGATTTCCGTGTTATTCAGGACCAACATGTCCGTGAACGCACCACACTGTCTGAACGCTTCCTTCGCACAAAACCTTTTCAATGAGACGTTTTTTTTTTTTCCTCTTTCTTTTTTCCACCCCTGTACTAAACGACAACGAAAAAGGAAATAAAAGCTGTTTTCAGACAGACACCCTCTGCCTGTCTGCTGTGGCTCCGTTCAGAGTCAGAGCAGCTGAAGCAGATGATGAACTCACCTCTACAAAATAGAAACAGGGCAGCAGACTGACGCTGTCTTTGGTCAGGACTCCCTTCCCTCGCGCAGACATCATGGTGGTCAAGCCTCCGGTGGTCCAAACAGATCCCGGGTGTAGAGGAAAAAGAAAAAACGGCGTTCTGCTGCAGGGATCAGGGTCGCTCCATGAGATCCCCCCTCGGTCCACCTTCTACGTGATGAGAAGAAGCCGCGCTCTGCGCATGTCCGCCTGCCAGCTGTCAGCTGGAAAGCGGAGGAGAGCCTGCGCATGCGCACCGAGGAGCCGCGATGCCAGCTCCTCTTCGAGCCTGCTGACCCTGACGTGAGATCAGACTGATGTCAGTCAGTGTGGCTGCATGGTTCCTCGTGTTGATTGAGCTATGACACACTCTTCTCATGAACTGCTTGACAGAATTTATTGCAACTTGAAGAAAGTAAATCACTGGATGGACACCAAAAACTGATACGCTTTTGGAATCAACTCTTCTCGAGCTCACATCTACCTAAAGTTAAAAACATAAAATGTCTGTATTTCAGACAGTTGCATACATATTGGGGGGAAAGGGTTTATTTGTGGATGATTGCACACAGTAAATGCATTTTTGCTCTGTTCTGTTGCTGTTATTACTTATTGCCACCAGAGGGCGCTGTTGTAACAGCATAGGACAGATACGATGCAATGTATAAATAAAACAGGAGACAAGTGTTCAGGAGGATCCACAGTTACTGCGATAAAGTTTGTGACTTTAAACTATCATCTCATATTTTTTTTTACTTTCTGATGTTAACAACCAAACAATTTTACTGGCACGTTTTGCTTAAGTTTTGGCAAATTAAGAACAAGGAAAGGAGGAAAGTAAGATTGGTATGTTACTACGACTTTTACTTTTGTCAAAGTGTGGGTCAACTGGAACTGCACGTCTTTTCTAAGCTCAGGTTCCACATGACACATCACTCCGAGTACATCAGCTTTACCTGGTGATGTCTTTTTAAGGCACCCTCGGGGTAGGAGCTGGCTTGCCTCCGATCAGTCAGGGAACTGATGTCGGCTCGCTTACCGGTCATTGGCGAACAGGTGTTTTTCCAGGTAACTTTCGTCTGTTTCAGTCCAAGCCAGAAAAATTCAAGCCATATCCGGTTCCTCCTTCCAAAATAAAATCTCCCCTCGGGAGTCAAAAACACACTCAGAGGCTCGGCCTCGGGTTGAGACCACCGGCAGGTGTGCCGGGTCCCTGGCTGTGAAGTCTTCCCTAATTAGCTCATGGGATCAGACTTTAAGCCAAACTGAGGTTTCTCCGGAGAGAATCTCAGCTGTCTTCCTAGGTTGGAATCAGGAAGAAGAAGAGTGTCTCGCTCAAAGCCATCCGGGTTAGTAAAAGAAACGGACGAACTTTGGTTCCACCCTCAGGCTTAGAGATGAGTCAGAGAAAGAAAGATAAAGATTTACCAGCCGGCGCCAGCCCAAGGTTAAAATTCTGTGGTTGTTCAACAACATGATATGATAACCTCTTTGCAGCTTTCTTCTGATAGACTAAGAGAAATCACTGCAAAACATTTACGATGATTACTTAACATTTCTGTTTTATTATCAGTTCTGAACCTTCTGTTAGTCCAGATAAATGAAARATTTTCTCAGGAAAAATCCACAATTATATTACTGTGTTCACAGTAAAATAAAACAGTGATTTACATAAAAACACAATGAAAACATTGTAATTAGATTCTCTGTGATTTTTTTATACTATTATAAATCTTTGAGGCACGATAAAAGAAAAGAAGTGGTCCCACTTTTCCTGTGACAGTCATTATCATGATTTAACAAATGCATAAACATTCTTAGTTAAACACAAATGAATCACGAACAGAAGAGATTGTTCTGTCCATTATCTGATTAAGAGACCTGAGGGGTTCTCTTCCACGGTTAGAATGACCTGTCATGGCCTAAATAGAGTTCAGTTTGTGACAGAGTTCCTGTCCTCTCGTCAGGCCTGTCCGAGGCCTGCTTCGAGGCAGTAAATCTTGTTTCTTCACTCGAGGTGACCCCTACACCTCCTACAGTCATATTTGACACGAGATAACTAGACAGGTTACAAGTCAGGATCTTAGGCTGAGAAAAACCAAGAAGATACGAGGTGATTACTGAAGAGAACATCTGGGAGAGATGATGAAAAACAGGTGAGTGATCAGAAGAGCAACCGGGGTACACAAACAGAATAAAAAAGCACACACAAAAAATTAATAATAATAATAAAGACAGGTGAAAACTACTAAGGAGCAATGAACTAAAGTAAAAACCAGAAATAATAAAAAAGAAAACAAATCCATGAAAACTAAAGTGTGACACATGGGCTGTCATTTGATGATCCCTGGTTTAAAAGCTCAGCTTTCACACTTTTTTTCCACGGCTCCATATCAGCTTTTCAGGTAAATGGACACCACAAGTGGTGTGCCTTGGTGTGTATGACTCCTGTTACTGCTGCTGGAACACATCCATATTCTGGTAGAGAGGATAATATTCTGCTCACTCAGACACCTTGCTGGAATATTTGGTCACATATTGCCTTTCTACGATTTGATTGTTTAGACATTAAACATGGTGGGAATGAATTGTTCATAATTTACTTCAACTACAGAGTCAGGAACATGAATTTTGATTTTAAGTTCAAACGTGCATAAATACAAGGTCTGGTAAAATGTAGCTACGTATTGTGAAAACATTATTATAGGTTTGGGCTTATGTGACTTATGTTATTGTAAAAAACTAATATATATATAAATTTTATCAAGAAAGATAGAGAAAAAAATAACTGATTCAAAATAATTGACAGCTAAATTTTAAAGCAAGATCTTATAGCTAGAATGTTGGGGATCAATCTCAGCTAAATTATAGCTAAAAGGGCTTTAGTCCTTTTTGTGTTCATGGTTGATCCCAAAAGTTAGTTGTTATTGCAACAGCAAGCCAAAATACACATGAAGGTAAAAAAATATTATCGCCTTTCAGTGCCACCTAACAATTACTTGGATAGATAGATAGATAGATAGATAGATAGATAGATAGATAGATAGATAGATAGATAGATAGATAGATAGATAGATAGATAGATAGATAGATATTATTGTTTATGCTTTTCAAAGTTACACAATATTTCTAACTGTCCGTGAAGCACGCAGTAGAAACACTGCTGCGCATGCGTTGTAGCGGCTGACCGGTAATTAATTGGCAGCAGCTCACCTGTGGGACGGAGCACTGCAGGGACAGCCGGTATCGTCGCTGTGAGTCGGTTTCGACGTGTCCTGATGTCACCTAGCCTTCAGGTCGTCGCTGAAGCTGTCTGAGGTAGGAATCTTCCGGTTTGTTCTCACCTGTGTTTCCGCAGGTCCTCCTGGAGAGATAACGTGTCCTTAACCATCAGAAAGTAGTGTATACTTGTACCCCGTTTTGGGTCAACCCAATTCAAAATGTCACTAAATCTAAATGACCTCTTCAACAGAAACCTGACTCTAACTCAATCATTTTTACATAAATTGAGATAAAACAATCTGCAGTATTGCTGAGAGTCCTTTTACAGGATATACTGACAGCTGTTATAACTTGTGAAGTCTCACAATATGTCATTGTTTTCATACAAGAAGAAAGAATGACAAACTTCTTGGCTCTAAACAAGAAATGACACTTGTCATTTGTTTTAAAACTTCCTTTAAATTATTTCTGTATTTGTGAAAAATGAATGAAATGAGTTCACTTTAAAAATAGTGTTTAATTGCATCCCTCTGCCAAAAAAAGCAATTTGTTTATCACTTAAGTCATCAAATAGCCAAACTATTATTTCTTTTTCACTGTACTTATTGTTTAAAATTTGATACATTATTTTTCCACACTGAACTTGTTTGTCCAATGTCGTTTTTTTTATTTTAGTCTGATCCTTTCCAAAATAGCAGTTTGCTTTAAATATGTTTAAAAATGTTTTTAGTTTTCTGTGTTTGACATAAAGTAGCTGTTGAATGTGTATAATTTGGGAAATAAAAAATCATGGAGTGGCTCAGTTGTTGGGTTTACCTCCAAGTATTCTTGCGTTGTGTGTGACAGTCGGTAAATACATGTGACAGGGTTATTAATATTCACACCTTTCACCTGGAAAAGCCTGGCTCTCAGTTGTTTGCTGTTGTCCTGGATAATAAATATGGCAGATTGTTGCTCAGCTTGATAAAGGTCACTTGGGTTCACACTTGTGTGCTGTTTTTATTTATGAACAGCATGAGTGGGCAATACTGAATTAAATGAATACTAAATGTATGGCAGGTATTCATGCATTTATTGTTTATCTTCACCTGCTTTTTCATGCAGAGTCTGGTCTCCAGTCCATCACAGGGACAGAGGAAGACAAACAAGACAATCATTTATTGCAGAAGAAGAAAAAAAATGTTCTCATCAAGACTTTCAGTGTGAATAAATCTTGTCCTCATCCTTTTCATAAAAAGTAAACGACTGGATTATTTATTCCTTTCAGCACAAATATGTTTATTTTTTTTGTTTCTTTCTAATCAGTCCAACACACATACTGTAATTTCTCTGTTTGGTTGTTGGGGTTTTTTATTTGCAGATTTTGCCAAAACAAAACCGGTCAGGATGCCTCCAAATCATCTCAGCAGAAAAGAGAAAAGGAAACTCTACACCGCTTTGGCCTGGCAGGTAAGATTATTTTCACCCTCTKTTAATAAATCCTTTCTTTGTTTCCCCCAAGGTGTTTACTTATTACTTTGTAATGAAAGTGTTCAAATTCTTGAGAATGAACTCAGGATATTTTATTTTTTTTTCACTAAAATCCTTTAACATTGAAGCAACGGGCTATAAATACTGACATTCTTCGATTATTTTAGATGTTTCGTTAGTCCACAATGTCCACGGTAATATTATACAGATGTTTGACATTACGATATACGCCAGTTTCCAACCGTCCTCCATCTGAAACAGAGACATTGCATGGGAGGACGGTTGGAAACTGGCGTATATCGTAAGCCCACCCACACAGACCAGTATTTGTGTTTTGACTCCCACCACCCACTGGAACACAAGTTAGGAG